AGTTGAAGAAAGGTAAATCAGATCTGTATCTCCATCCTAGGTGAATTTGTTTCCACATTAAAATACTTTTTTCATATTGATTTAATATTTCAAATATGTATGTATCTTTATTCTTTTGTTAGTCAGCTTATGAAATATTTTTTGAGAATTATAGTTGTACTATATCTGCCATTAAGCCGGTGGCTCTACCATTTTACTAGGTAGAATGTTCTGTCTTGCAAGTGGGACATGCTAGTTTAGGATATGTGCTTTTAATTAGTTCCCTGACCTGCTTTTATTGTATCTACATTTAGGCCTTAGTCATCTCTTATTCAGAGGGTTTGTACATGCTATGTGTGTGTGTGTGTGTGTGTGTACTTGGCCCTTGGAGCTACTCCCATTCTTGGTTGGAAGAGCCATGCTATTACACCCTAGAAGAGACAGTGAGGGAGGTGTTGTTGCCCTTGGTTACAGCTCTGCTGTTCTAGTAGAAAGAGGTTGGGCTTTGAAGCTAGGTAGATTTATGTTTAAAACCAGTGTCCCTCACTTGCTCACTTTTTGATTTTGGACAAATTATCAATTCTAAACCATAGTTTTATTATTTGTAAAACATGGAGAATATTGTTTATCTCATGGATTTTATTAACGGTCAAAAATTTACTTCCCTTTAGCTATCAAGAAATATTTGTTGAGTATAATTAAGTGATAATATTTGTGGCATTACGTGTATCAAACTAATTGTGATCGTTTGTTTTACCTGTCAGTTTCCTGTTATGTGCTGAATGTTTATGGTACTCCAAATTCGTATGTTGAAATCCTAGCCCTCAATGTATTGGTTTTGGGAAGTGGGGCATTTAGGAGATAATCAAGTTTATATTAGGTCACAAGAATAAGACTCTCATGATGGGATTAGTGCTCTTATCAGAAGAGAGACCTCTTTCCATGAGCATGTACCAAGAAGGGCCATGTGAGCATGCAGCAAGAAGGTGGATATCCACAAATGAGGAAGAAGACTCTCACCAGATGCTGAATCTGCCAGCACCTTGATCTTTGAATTCCCAGCTTTTAGAACTGTGAGAAAAAATTTATGTTGTTTCAGCCACCCAGTCTGTGATATTTTGTCATAGCAACCCAAACAAAGACCACCCCCTTTTTCAATTTCTTACCAGCTCCTTAGAGTAAGAGGTATAATTTACACCTTTGTTTAGGATCCCCAGTATTTAGTGTACTACTTAGTACATAGGACTTAATAAAGAAGTGTTTAATACTTCTCTATCTTCATGTTCTTATCATCATCCTTAGCCTCAGCCAACGCTCTCCCTACCACCCATCCACAAAAACCCATGATGGTTTAGAAAAATAGGCTAAAATAAAAACCTACAATTTGATCAAAAGGCTCATAGGGAAAACAGGGGGATATAGTATAAAACAGAGTGGATTTGAATTCTACTCTGCCATTTATTTAGCTATGGTAGTGAAGAGAACTTATTGCACTTGACCATCTCAATTTATTTTTAAATAATCTTGGCAGCCTTGTTTTGAGCATTATCACATAATAAAAATATGTGAAGGTTTCCTGAATAGTTTTATCACTCTGTACCATTATTTAAATATGCTTACAGTGTAGGGGCACCTGGGTGGCTCAGTTGGTTAAGCATCCAACTTTGGCTCAGGTGATGACCTCATGGTTCATGGGTTCGAGCCCCGTGTCGGGCTCTGTGCTGACAGCTAGCTCAGAGCCTGGAGCCTGCTTCAGATTCTGTATCTCCCTCTCTCTTTGACCCTCCCCTACTCACGCTGTCTCTCTCTCTCTCTCTCAGAAATAAATAAAAACATTTAAAAAAAATTAAAAAAAATGTTTACAGTGTTTCTCAATTCCTGAAAGAATGACTTCAGACTCACCCAAAGAACTCTCTTTTGAATATCATTCTTTGTTTCAAATGTATTTCCTTGTGGCAGGAAGCGATAAAAACACATGGCATTGACGGCTAGTGACTGAAGAGGAAGTTAATGGTGTTTGTTTTTCCTCCAGAATTAGTAGTTCAAAAATTAAAAATAAAAATGTATCTTGCCAAGTTTGGAAAACACACAGAATCTTTCGATTACAGGATTACAACGTACCTAATTTTTTACATTAATATTTCTTTCATATTATGAATCAAAGTGCTTTTTAAAGTTAAAACTTTTTATATTTTATTTTATAAGCTGCTGTGAATAAAATATCCAAATACTATTGAATACCTGTGGAATTTACTTCTTTGCCCAGTAGACTTAGAAAGCAAGAGAAGGTTTACAGAGTAAAGCATTTTGAAATCACTGACAAGCACAGATGATGCTGTTAGGATTCCATGTCTCAATGGGTAATGCCTTTGAGGAGACCGTGTTTTAGATGGGTTTTAAGCTATAGTGGGAAGAAGTAAATAAGACCTTTCCCTAGCTATGTACTGAAAAAACCCCTGTTGTGATTGAGAAGTATTGTTTGACTCAAAGCCAGCTTATTTTTCACCAGAGATTCCTGCACACCCACCAGTTTGGGGCATTACTAAAGAGGGTGAAAATAAGGTGGGATGAAGAGGGGGGTCTGTAACAGACGGCATGCAATTAAGAAAATCTACAGAAGTGACAAAAATGCTATTCTAGAAAGTTAGAATAATTTTATTTCAGGGAACAAATTGTGTAGTGTTGAAGGGAGAATAGAACTACTATGAAATATCTTTCATTTAATTAAAATCAAGGTTTATGTGGTTTGCTACTGCTGGGTGAGTACCATTTTGACTTTGGTTTAGTTGTTGCTGGTGGTTTACAAAGATTCAAATGTACTTTATTACAGATTAAGGGAATTCCTTAACCTGTTTAATTTTTATTGCAAGATCCCCTCCCCTGTGTTCACCTCTGCTGTCAGGTGTGGCAGTAGTTGTACACCCTGGGAAAATCACTTCTAAAGCCTGTTGAATGGAAAGTATTGTGGCTATTTATTGCGAGGAAAAGGGAAAGCAAAGATGTTATAGGGGTTATGTCATTTTATTCAGTAATTAGCTTTGGGAAGGTCTTGAGGACCTAGTATTTAGGAGTTGTGGATATTTTTAGATTGCTTCTACGTAAAACCATGGTTTTTCTTTTAATGAGCTGGAAAGAAATCATCCAGTACTGTGTTTTCTGTATGTCATAAGCTCTTATCAGGCCACTGAATCAGTTTTATATTTGCAATTAAACAGTTCAATAGAATAGACCATATTACAAGATACCAGAGTGCACATGCATTGTAAGGTTAAGTTTTAATTTGTGAAAATTGAAATTGAGTTTTCTATAGATAAATATGTTTATATGTATAAATAGACTTCATTTAACATGAAATGAATTTTTCGTGTGAGTAGCAAATGAGGAAGATTGAAAGTTACTGATTGAATCCTCACATTTCTCAAATAGGATACTAGAAGAGGCTACTTTTGGTTTATTTGAGTAGATTTCACTGTGATGGCTTGTCTAAATTATCAGGTCTGTCTTCTGTTTGAATCTTTGTTTTGATCACCACCTCATCATTTACATTTCACCCCCATACTTAAAAGTTTCTGTATTTTTGTCATTAGAATTTGGGTAGAGATGCTGATTCTGGGAAAATGAATCTTCACTGAATCTCTGAGCACCATGCTGCCAGCTTGTTGTTACTGGGGATACCAAGTGGAAAAGAATAAACCTTTACAGCTTGCTCTATGGATAAGGCCTATATGAAAATAGGTTAAGTCTGGAGGAAAGTTGGAACAATAATCTAATAAATTTCATCAGTAGATACAGGTACTCTCTATTAACTTCTACTACTTGTCTCAGTTCATTTCAACAAATATTTCTTGAGCTCCTACTTTGTGCCATGTATTTTCCCATCCATTTACTTCCTCCTGTCTGTAGCTAATTAAATTGATCGATCCCTCGCTTTGCTTGTGGGATATCAGCAGATTTACTGAAGTACCTGGTATTTTGGGGTTGTTTGTCAAAGATAATACAGATGTAGCTCCATGTTTTATAACATGATATGCCACTTTGGAACTCTGTTGTGCTTGGTATAGAAATGTTCCTGACCTCACCCTTTCACTTGTTCAGAAGTCCTGCGTTGAATTCATGCAGACTGTTTTTCTCTGTCTTACTTTCATAATACAATGATTTTTATTGAAATTTATCCCTTTTGTTTTTTACAAAATGTCAGTGCTGGAGAGTTTTAATTTTTAATCTGACGACTTGAGAATCAAGGCAGCAGGACCAAGGGGACCAACTGTCTGGATACCATGTGAGGTTTTCTAATTCTCACGTTGTTATTGCTTTTTGCTTGCCTTTCTGTATGGCAGTTACTGAAGGTGATGCTCTGGTTTCTGCTTCTCTTTCTTTTCCTTCCCTCCCCTCCCCTCCCCTCCCCTCCCCTCCCCTCCCCTTTCCAGTATATGAAGTGTATTTTTTGTTTAGTTAGGTTATTAGTTGAATATTGGCCATATAAGTTATTGGCAGATGCGGGTACAACCTCAGGGAGGAGTCCCCAGATGGCACCATGAACCTGCTTTTTCTCGATGGGTCAGTACAAAGAGGAATACCTATGAGGCTGAAGTCAATGGAGGGCCATGTGTAAACAGAGCATGATCTTGTTAGTGGGTCTAGAAAAGCTGCCTTTTTTCTTTTTTAAATTCTCAGTCTTTTTAATCGTCACTAATTTGAAAGATTAAACATGATAGTTTATAGTCATTTTTGCTTGCATTCTTATTAGTGGTTTGGAACATGTTTCCATGTATTTATGGACTTTTCTTCTCCTGTTTTGAATTTGTTTGTGCCCTTTGCGTATTTCTTTTAGACTATTTTCTATTGATTTAAATAACTTTTTTGTATATTATTGAAATTATATTTTATAGCAAAACAATACACATAACATGAAATTGCCCCCTTTAAACCCCTTAGAGTGTACACTCCTTAGCCTGAAGTATATTCATATTATTGCACAGATGTCTCCACTATCTGTAGAACTTTTTCATCATCCCAAATTGAAAAATAAAAAAGCAACCATGCCACAAAGTGAGTGGGAATGTCTTACCCACATATGTATGGTGCAGGCCTGAGGACATCTTTAATCCTTGACAAGGAAAGTGCTAACTTTTCTCCGTTCATAGAACAGTAGAAAAACTGCTTGAATGATGTAATCAGTTTTTCTGAATGTAAAGCTTCCTTGATTATTGCTACTTCACTTTAAGAGATGTATTTATACATTAAATAAACAGGTAAAAAGATCTTCTCATATGACCATCTTACTGAGCAAATTCTGTTTTGTTAAGTCTTTATAGTTCCTACACTTTTTATTTAATCTACTGGTGTTTGATGTTTTCTTTGCTTGCCAATGTGGTATTTCCAGCTGTGCATGGAAATTAATTTTCTATTTGAATAGACAATTCCAGGAAGCTATCTATTAAGTTTATAGGAGGCAAAGAAAATGTTCTTTTACAATTTTTTTCCTGGTATTCTTGCCATTATAAGGGGAGTAAAAAGGTTGACATAAGAGTCCATGATTGGCAGTTTATTTTTTGTTTTTAACTAATACTATACAAGTAAAATAAACTTTGCCATAGATCACAAATATGGTCAAAAATAGAATGTGTTTGGCAATGGAAACTTAATCCTCCATTTAACAAAACAACCCTAAATGGATCTTCCATGGACTCTAAAACCTTTCTTGCGCAATAGATATCTTTCTGTATGTATCTGACTGGTTCTGTGAAATCTCAAAATCTAAGGTCTATGGAATATTCCAAAACCCTATGGGTCAGGTGTGTTTTGGAATTGATATTTTTTTAAAAAAAAAATTTTTTTTTAAATTTATTTCTAGGAGAGAGAGAGAGACAGTGTGAGCAGGGGAGGGTCAGAGAGAGAGGGAGTCACAGACTGAAACAGGCTCCAGACTCTGAGCTGGCAGTCAGCACAGAGCCCAACGCGGGGCTCGAACCCACCAACCGCGGGATCATGACCTAAGCGAAAGTCGGACGCTTAACCGACTAAGCCACCCAGGCGCCCCTGGAATTGATAGTCTATCAGTTTTTTTTTTTTTAATTTCAATGTTGATCATCTTTTTTTAAAATTTTAATTTCAGTATACTTAGATACAGTGTTATAATAGTTTCAGGTGTACACTGTAGTGATTCAACAGTTCTGTACATTACTCAGTGCTCATCATGACAAACATATTCTTAATCCCCTTCAACTATTTCACCCTCCTCCCCATCCACCTCCCCTCTGGTAACCATCAGTTTGTTCTCTGTAGTTAAGAGTCTAATTTTTAGTTTGTCTCTTTTTTTCTTTGTTTAGTTTCTTCAATTCCACATGTAAGTAAAATCATATGGTATTTGTTTTTCTCTGACTGACGTGTTTCATTTGCAACAACATGGATGGATCTAGAGGGTATAATACTAAGAGATTGTATCAGTTTTTTTAAAAGGTGGCATGGGACATAAATCATGTGTGTTACATGGCATGTCACTTTTATTTTTTATTTTTACATATTTTTATTTAAAAATTTAATTTATTTAGCTTTAAAAAAAACTTTTCCTTTTTCTTAAATTTACATTTTAGTTAGTTAACATTCAGTGCAATATTGGTTTCAGGACTGGAATTTAGTGATTAATCACTTACATACAACACTTAGTACTTATCACAACAAGTACCCTCCTTAGTACCCATTACCCATCGGCCCATCTCCCACCCACCTCCATCTGTCAGCCCACAGTTTGTTCTCTATCATTAAGAGTCTCTTGTCATTTGTCTCCCTTGCTTCTCTTTTTCCCCCTTCTCATATGTTCCTCTGTTTTGTTTCTTAAATTCCACATATGAGTAAAATCATATACTTGTCTTTCTCTGATTGACTTATTTCACTTAGCATAATACATTTGAGTTCCATCCATGTCATTGTATATGGCAAGACTTCATTCTTCTTTGATGTCTGAGTAATATCCCATAGTACATATACACCATATCATCTTTATCCATTCATTAGTTGAGGAACATTTGGGCTCTCTCCATTGATCATGTACTATAAACATTGGGAGTGAATCTGTATTTTTGTATCCTTTGGGTAAATGCCTAATAGTGCAAATGATGGGTCATAGGGTAGTTCTTTTTTTTAGTTTCTTGAGGAAATCTTGTCCAGAGTGGCTGTACCAGTTTGCATTCCTACCAACAGTGCAGGAGGGTTCCCCTTTCTCTGCATCCTTGCCAACACCTGTTGTTTCTTGTGTTGTTAATTTTAGCCATTTTGATAGGTGTGAGGTGGTATCTCATTGTGGTTTTGATTTGTATTTCTCTGATGTTGAGTGATGTTGAGCATCTTTTCATATGTCTGTTAGTAATCTGGATGTCTTTGGAAAAGTGTCTATTCATGTCTTCTGCCCATTTCTGTACTAAGTTATTTGTATTTGGGGTGTTGAGTTTGATAAATTCTTATAGATTATAGATTATATATCTGATACTAACTCTTTATCAGATATATTGGTTGCACCTATCTTCTCCCATTCAGTAGGCTACTTTTGAGTTTTGTTGATTATTTCCTTACGTGTGCAGAAGCTTTTTATCTTGATGAAGTACCAATAGTTCGTCTTTGCTTTTGTTTCCTTTGCCTTTGGTGATATGTTTTAGGAAGAACTTTATGTGGCCAAGTTCAAAGAGGTTGATGCCTGTTTCTCCTGAAGGATTTTAATGGTTTCCTGTCACACATTTGGGTCTTTCATACTTCTTGAATTTATTTTTGTGTATGGTATAAGAAAGTGGTCCAGTTTTGTTCTTCAGTGTGTACCTGTCCAATTTTTCCAACAGCATTTGTTGAAGAGACTGTCTTTTTTCCATTGGATATTGTTTCCCGCTTTGTTGAAGATGAGTTAACCATATAGTTCTAGGTCCATTTCTGAGTTTTCTCTTCTGTTTCATTGATCTGTGTGTTTGCTTTTTTGTGCCTTACTGTCTTGATGACTATAGCATTGTAATGTAACTAGAAATCTGGAATCATGATGCCTACAGTTTTGTGTTTCGTTTTCCGAGTTTCTTTGACTATTCAAGGTCTTTTGTGGTTCCATACAAATTTTAGGATTGTCTGTTCTAGCTCTGAGAAAAATACTGGTGATATTTTGATAGGAATTCATTATATGTGTAGATTGCTTTGGATAGTATGGACATTTTACCAATGTTTGTTCTTTTAGTCCATGAGCATGGAAAGCTTTTCCATTGCTTTGTGTCCTCTTGAGTTTCTTTCATAAATGTTCTATAGTTTTCAGAGTATAGGTCTTTTAGTTAGGTTTATTCCTAGGTATCTTATTGTTTTGGGTGTCATGTCATTTTTAATGGAGTCTGGGACAGTTCCTCATAATAAAAACATTTAATATTTATTTCTACAATGAAATTCATAGCTATTAATACTAAATGAGGTGAAGATAATAAATAACCTCCTATCTGTTTAAGCCAGTTTTTGTGGCCAGATGAGCTTAGATTTGTTGCCAAATGAGTTATGAAAATTCTCTGTTTCTTTTGGTCGTCAATAAGGGATAAATAAAAATTTACCTGTATTTTAGGGATGTTCCACTCAGTTAGAAGTGGTATGGCTCCATGATCCAGCCACTTTTGCTTCTCCTCAGCACTCAAGTTCTGGAATTAGCATTCTCAGTATTACAGATACTTTTGTTTCCAAGCCTCTGTTCCTTTTTGCCGAATTTAACCTTTTGCTTTTCACTCATTCTGTGGCTGGGTTCTGATCCTTAATACCCAGTTAGTTTGCCAGTGTGGTAAATTTCTCATCAGACTTTATATGAATATATATGAATATATGTGTATGTGTGTCTATATATGTTTATATGTATCTATATGTATACATGCGTATGTATATAACTATATGTATATAACTAAGAATGTGTGTGTGTGTGTGTGTACTATGTGTATGTTCTGCACTGGTTGTTTTCAGTACTTGAAATGCCTTTTCCTCCTGTTAAATTTGTCTCCAATCACATTATTCTACTAGGGATATTTAGTTTCTTCCTCTGTTATGTTCTGTGTATTCCCTTAGAGCATTGCATCTCCCTTTGTTATAGCATGCAGTACATTGCTCCTTAATTATTATAGTAATTCTCTCTCTCTCTCATATTAGACTGTAAGGGTTTGAGGGTAGCACTTCTTTATATGTGTGCTGCCTTACAGTGCTTGGAAACACACAAATTCCAAGATTTTCAACCCAACATAAATAGGTGTGTATTTGGAGGTGAGAGGGTGATATTGCAGACCAGGGAAAGAGGGATGTGCAGTAGAAATAAATGCATGGGAACACTGGGGTGGCTCAGTTGGTTAAGGGTCTGACTCTTGATTTTGACTCATGATCTTGCAGTTTGTGGGATGGAGCCCTGCATCTGCCTCTGCACTGGTGGTATGGAGCCTGCTTGTGATTCTCTCTTTCCCTCTCTCTCTGCCCCTCCACCATTCGTGCTTTCTCTCTTTCTCTCTCTCCAAGTTAATAAACATTAAGAAAATAAATTTATGAACAAGACAGAGTAGTTTAGAGTGCCAGTGGTTTTGTTTATTTTAAATACACATGAGGACTAGAAAACTAAAAGATTCATGTGGTTTGGAGAATTAGGCAAACCTCAGAAAGGAGTTAGCTGGAGACAAAGCTTGGCAGGTGGGTGGAATTGAGGTAGACAAAAAAGAGTACACAATGCTTTCCAGAGAAGGGGCAGTATGTTGCCGAAGGAATGGGTGCATATGAGAGAAGATATTTAAGCTATTAGCCAGTGTTAATGTAAGTTCTAAATTAGGAAAGTGATAGAAGAAACAGGTCAGTAGGCCAAGTAGGGCTGGATTATATAGGGAAATGTATTGTAAGAAAAAGAATTGGATCTATTTGGAGTAAGGTGTCATTGTGAATTAAGGTATAGAACAGGGATGATATGATAAAAACATTTCTGAAAATAAATGTATCTACAGCCTATTCAGTGATGCGTGAACTAAAGGATGGGGAGGGGATTGACTTACATCCTTTTGCTGAAAACCAGTAGGGGATCATAAGGACCTGATATGAAATGATGGTAGTGAGACCAAGAATAGAGAAAAAAGTGTGACTTTTGAAAAGTAAAACTATCCTGTGATGGTTAATTTT